AGTATAATGCCTCAATCCCTTTTTAATCAGCTCTGGTTTCTTAACAATATTCAGCACCTCACATTCTGTCTGTACACGCAAACTGGAAGATTGACAATAAAGTTGACTTTGACTTTGAAATTCAGATAGACTTGATGTTGCAGTGGGTTAAACAAAACGCAAGCTTTCCTGAATCAGAGTCACCGCAACCAAAGTCATTAGGACATTGTCTGGGCAAGAATGTCTGTATACGATGTTGTGCAGACCAATCAAGTGAATGCTGAAATATATCACATGACAACTTTTATATACTTTCTTCAACCTTCAAATAGTATGAGGTATGTAACTTGGATACATTGGGTTGGCCTTATGGAAATCTCTGACAACACTGCCATCCTTAGAGCCTTGCAGCCAACACAGCTAGCTTACTAACATACAACAATCAGCAATCATGGAAGCTCAATTTACCAAAGAGCCAAGAGACTAGTTTGGTGGGTTAAATGCATTATAATAACACATTATATTAGGACAGGTCCCACTGCATAGTTTCTCAGATACAGACACTAAACCAGTGAAAAAGCATTGGAATTGGAGTGTGGGTGTTTGGCTTGATTTATCTTTTGTTTGCCACTGTGTAAGGGTGTGTGTTCGTTCCAGTGTCTGCTCTTGCGGCATTTGTGGTCTGTGAAGCAGCAGACATGTAGATGAGCGTGGTGCTTTACACTGTTCCATTAGCAGTCAACCACAAACCATCACAAAGTACTGTCCTGCTGTCTCTATGCCATTCCCTCCCACTGCAGCTTCTCTCTTTTCCCCTGTTCCCCACTGAGCCGTTGTATTCTCTGCACACTGTTTATGTAGGCGGAATGACACAATAAAATGAGAATCGCTTCCTCTGGGAGCTCCTTATTGTTGATGCAGATGGCCCTCAGAGGAGTCGGTAGAGAAAATGTTCAGAATAGGTCACCAAACCCTGTGATGCATGTGAGCCAGGAGCGGCCCAACAGAGCCAGATGGAAGTAGGCCACACAGAGGTAACTACAGTGCAGCCGGGGTCGCGGGATATGAAGCACTGGTTGGGGACTCCCATTGTCGTCCAGCCTCAACCTTATTCGATTTCCCCCGGAAATGTTTATTCCTTTCACTGCCCCGCTGAGAAGTATCTCTCCTACTTATCTCATCACTATTTATTAAGGGAGCCCCTGAGGAGTCCAAACATACAATCAGATTTGAAGGTAGCTGGTCGGTAGAGAGAAAGTAGAAACCAAAGTTGAAGAAAGGAAAAAATAGGAGAATTTGCAGCATGATTTTTCTTCCTTTTTCTCCAAGTAAGGGCAGTGATGACATGGCATACCAATCCAGACGGCTCACTGATTCCCCCTGTGCTCCTTGCATCACTTCTCCTTGTTCAGTGCCGTTTGCCTCGGACTATGGTTCTGATGAATACTGGTCCAGTTCTTATGATTTCTTACAGTTTTGAGGAGTTGCATCTAGTCCGCCTTTAAAGACTTTTGCCTTTTTAGACTATTCATTAGATTACATTACACGTTACTTGTTAGACGCTTTTATCCAAAGCGATTTACATACTCAATACTGTGGACAATCCCCACAGGAGCAATTTGGGGTGAAGTGTCTTGCCCAGGGACACAACGACATGCTGACTGCAGTGGGGTTTGAACCTGTTCAAATCCGAACACCAACACACTAGTCCACTACGCTACACGCCTCCCTACATTCTCCTTCTACAGTTTTTGGGCTTCTGTATCTTTACGTTCTCTCTAGTTGTGTAATACTTGGTATCTGCCTTGCCCTTGAAATCACACATTATGCTGGTTCTGAAATGCAACACAACAACAGTTATACAGTTTTGTTGTATAAAATATATACAAAAATAAAATTAGATCAAAGAAAACACATAAACATACAGCTCCTTGAAGCCTTAATTAAACATGTTCTTTTATATTAGCCATACTACGTAGTGGCATGGCTTGAACTATGTCATTTTGTGGAAACTTTTAACAGTTGTTGATACTTTGATGCATGGATTACGCTGATACTCTGGTAAACATTCACTTTGACAGTAGTGGAAGCACTTCTTCCACCACTCTCTTACTTAGTAGCTCCTTTATTCAAGTAGTAGTTAAAAGTCTTTAATTGAAAACCTTAAACATTAATAGTATTGGGGCAATGAATACATACATTATCAAAAGTAAAAGCACACAATATGCAAAATGGATGGATTCAAAGTGTTACATTTTTAATATGTTTATTATAAGAATGTCATTCCTGATTCATCACCGCCTCAGCTTCTGAATGTGGTCAAGGTTATTTGAATACCTATACAATGTTATGTAGTTTAACCTATATAAATGCACAGTTTCTAAACTGAACTTATGTCTTATATATAAAATACAGAGTGAATAGTATTGGATGACTGTTTTGTAACCTGAAGGAGACTAATTTGCTGGCTGGTTACAAGGCCAAATGGACCATTAAGTCAATGAAAGACACTTCGACCACATTCTAACACCTACTCAGAAAGCTGGTATATGGTCTGTGGAGTAATTACTGCTTCCCTGAGACTCCACTGTGTTTAAAACATTCTGAAGCCTCACTGGAAAGTACTGATAGACATCCTGATCACTGAAGTGTAAAGAAACCAGACACAAGCCCCCGCTGCTCCCGTTGGGACCCGGGGAGGGCTGAGCTCTTTGTGTTACAGCTGTATGCTCACTGCCACCTCGGTCCTCCTCAGCACTCCCTTTCACTCTGGCTTGAACAGTGGATCTACCATTTAGTCGGGGGGGAAATTCACCCATGGATTGACAACGTAAGCTTTTATATTGTGATGTCCAGAGTATTTTACATTATGTAGGTCAGGATGAAGTGATGTTTTTTTTCTTTTTTCGAGTGATACCTCTCCTTGACCTTTAATAGCCAAATCAGACCATTTGCAGTGATTTCCTGCTTTTCTATTATGTTTACCAAGCATGTTTCGTGATTCATAATTATATTTATTTAATGGAATTTTCAAAAAAAGGCATTCTAGCAAACTACACTTTAGATTGCATGTATACTATATCTAGTTGTTGCTATGTGCTTTTGATCTTTTGGGGGAAAAGTGAAGTTATTAATTAAAATAATATAAAAGAACAGAATACAAAATTAGGAATAATATTAGAACACGAAACAACCGTGTTGACACAGTAATGCAATTTGAAAAGACATTTTAATAAAACAAAAACTCCTTTATAGAACAGAAGATCTTTTTAAACTGTTATACATATTATTGGATGTGGTTTGCTTTCTCTTTATTCACAAACACTCCTATTTGCCAAGTACGAGTGCTTCTCAGTACACAACTATAAACAATATATGTTTAAATGTTAGCAAACCTGTAACATTTTAACCATCTTCCTCTGGTGAGAAGCATTAAACCATATTTATCACACCTCTGGTTGCAGCATCACTCTTTGTACACACACATGCTGCCCACACACGCAATCACCTATTTCTGCCGACTGCAAAGTAACCAACCTCACTCCTGAGTGATGGTGCATGGTTCAAGGTTTGCTTTCATTCATAGACCCAATATTTGTTGGTGTTGTCAAGTGAAACGGTAACCTTACAGTTCAAGTTACAGGAGTTGTAAAAGAAAGTTGTGTGATTTGTTGGTGTCCAACATTTAGTCTGTCAGCCAAGTACTGGCAATCATTTAGGACTCTATGATGCCAAATCTGACACTGATCTCATCTCAAAGGACACAAATATTGTAGTCCGATCATAAGACTTTACATGTGATGTGGTGGCAAAATCTATAAATGTCGAAAGGCTTTCATTCACAACAGAGAGGGAAGCAGCTGGCAAAAATACTTCAAATCATATTGGGAAGACTGCAACACTACAGAAGATTACACACATACAGTACATATATGTAGTATGCACACTGACGCACACGCACATTCAGATTGACCCTTGTGTCTAGTGTTTATCTTTATTCTTATGAAGAGGGGAAGCATACCATCTGTCATAATACCCATTTTCACTTGGTATAGAACCCCCATCACAACATGACATTACATCAAAGAAAGTAGCCTGACTTGAGACGGCAGATATATTCATTGGCAAACAGACAGGCAATCGCATAGTGCATGTTAAAGTGCAGCAACAAATTCAAGATGAAAGCAAAGTCCCTTCTTTGGTCCCATCTGCCAACCTGGTATGGATTAGATAGTGAAAGTGATTAGGCACTCTTTATAATTTAGTCTTGAATAAATCAATCCTGAATCTTCGATGTCACCGAAATGAAATGACAGTTCACATGTTATGTAACTTGTCACCACTTTCACGCGAGTTCACTCTCTTTGGATATACCTTACAATATGGGTTCTGTGTTCGAGTTTTTCATTTACCGTTTTTTTTTTCCCCTTCCTTTGTAGTCCGCTGAGCCAAGGACATTGACGCTGTAATTTTGCTGCAGTCAAAGAAACCTTTTCATAGTGTCCTTTTCAGACTGTCAGAGAGTGAATCTATTAGTGAGGGAGGTAAAGGAGTAAGAGGAGTTGCATAATGGAATGGACACATCCCTCTTATACAAACCATAATTTTACAGCAATCACCATTGATGGTTGATCCCAAAGTGTCAGAGGGTGTTTTGATTAGTTAATTTAGCTTTAGGCTCTGTTTGGATATATCTTTATACAAACAACACTTGCAAATTGCTGCGTTTTGATTATCAGATTGACCGGTGGAGAACACAAGATAACACATGTGTTTAAAACACCCAGTTGTCCTCTGGGGACTAAAAACAGTGTGATCAAAACCAAGATAACAGCTGGGACATCTTCAGAAGACAAGGCAGTGGAGTGACCATCTGGATAATGTATTTCTAGACAGAATGACAAAACAAAAAGTAATTGTCTGTCTGTGCGCAGCTGCCATGCATCCATATCCAATGACAAACGGAAATGAGAAACTTCTTGGTAAAATAAATAGAATCTCTCAACCTTATACATCCATGAACATGTATTTTCTCTCTCCACAGGGTGAAGTTGAAAGAAGGAGTGACGTTTCTCGGGGCTCGTCCCAGTAATCCCACTCAGTGGATGGTGAGCCAGGATGTGAGGAGCGAAGGCCACCGAGTGGTGACTCTTCACTGCCGCAGGAAGGAGTCGGGCTACGATCAGCAAAGGTTAGCACATAAATGACTGATATGTTTCATCGGTCACGTTTGCAGCACAACTAAACATAACATTGATATCTTATAAAGTTGATATAGCGAACATGCTAGCAAACAGCTGCCATTCGCATTTGCACCTCCAAGTGTTTGCAGTAATTGTCTGACCCCCTGGTGAATTTAATTTCAACATTCCCTTTGATTTTCTCCTTATTCTCCACCAACTCTAGAGTTAAATATCCGTCTATTTTGCTGATAAAATACTTCATTATATTTATCAGATATGTGTTCCTAGCTATCGTTGTCCATCTGCCACTTGATGCTGTGCAGTTACCACAGGCCTACAGTGGGTTTTGATGAGCTACCTGCTGCTCCTAACAAGTTTAATGAGGGTAAATTGAAACATTAAAGTTGGTCACCATAAAAATAAAACAATGAGTTAAAAGGCGTTCCCACAGAGTTGAAGGGAACAGCAGAACTTAAACGTAATAATTGTTGGTGGTTCAGCAATGCTGGTGAGTCATCATTTTGTCCAAGTTATTACAGCCTCAATTTTTATATCCACATCATTTCAATTGAAATGAGAAAAATACTTTTAATCTGATCTGTTCTTTGACACAGCAGAAGTCGTTTATCTAATATGGGTTTTACATTTATAAAAGACAAATATATATTTAATAACATAACTATGAATCGATTGAGTGCATTTTACAGCTGCTACAATCTCATTCACTCACTCTTTTGATATGCATTCATTGAGCTAACTTAATCACAATCTCAATCTCCTATAACTCTTTTTTTTCACCGTTAACATGATTTCAGAAATTGCTTTGGCTCATCATTTACATTTTGTCAAAGATACACTAATAAATGTAATGTGTGAGTGGTGTCACACTTGACAGTCCATAAAGGCCGTGGCATATGTCTGTTGAGACCACTGTGGGGATGGGGAAGTTACCAGACCTTTGAAATATCCCCTCTTCTCTCTCTCCCTCTCTCCTATCCACTCCCCTCCATCCCTCTCTTTAATTGCATACTTGTTTTTTCTCCGCTGCCATTTCCTCAAAGTTGTTTTGGTCATTTCCTTTCTGAATTCACGTCTTTAAACTAATCTGGCATATACTGTAGGGAGGGAGTGATCGCCAGCACTCAGTAAAAAGGTTGCTGTGTTAATTAAGTGCTGATTGAAGGTCTTTGTGTACTTTAATGGTTTTTCCCCCTCGGATCAGGAAGTAGTTTTAAATGATATAAGTTTCTAGTGACAGGTGTAATTTTATGGATTAGAGGCCGATTTAGGGTCGGGTAAAGCTCCACTTATTTGCTCTTTAGCTTTCGTTCCACTTAGAAAATTCTCCCTTATGAAAACAGGACATTTGACATTGCAGCTGCAACTTTTAATCAACGTTGTGCATGGGGTTATTTTAAGTGTAGCAGCCTATAAAAAATGTGAATGTGTTGGTCCAGTGATTTGTTTAGACATGCCGCTATTAGTGGATTACTACGAAGAATGATTATAGTGTAACTGCAATACACACAGACGTTAGCCAAAGATATATGCGCCTGCCTTTGAAGAGCTTTAAAAGGGAAGCAGCTAATAAACATTTTCTAGAAGACGTCTCATACAGTAATTTGTTGTGATACTGAGGAGTTACTTTCAGAAATGGCGTGGCAGTTGCTGATCTTGAAGGAATGTTTTTTTGTTGGTTTAATATTGTTGCCGCAGTCAAAAGTACAACTTTTTTTGGACTCACTTCCAAACTGGTGATGCCCCTGGAGATCAAAGTCTCATTTGCACTGAAACCATCTTTCCTGACCTTACATCTTACCAGTATTATACATGACGGCTCAGCCTTTCAAACACAAAGGTACCAGCTGCCTAAAATGTTACAGGGGTGCAGAATGTTGATCATTTTGTTTGCATCTGGCTAAACCTACGTATTTCACCCTGACTCACGCATAACGATGAACGGTAATATCAAAACTGAATAACACCCTACTAGCACATCAGGAGCTAGAACTATACAGAAATCTTTGCTGTTATCAGATTTGTTGCTTCTGTACAGTACATACAGTAGAGGTTTATATCATTTTTGCAAGAAGCCAAAAAGATTGAAACCCAATTTATTATTATTATTTTTGGCAGCTATCATGTCAGCAGTTTCTTTGGAAATGTAAAATGTAGAATGATATTTTCCATCAACATCCCAAATCAATACTTTCTGACCTGAATATGTGAGGGGGCTGGCCGAGGTTAGTCCTTGAAGGTTTGGCCTTTAACAATAACTTAGCGGTAGCAGTAATATATTGTGTCTGCGAATGTCTGCAAGCCATCTTCCGCCTTCATGCATGTATTTTTCTCTCTTAACAAACCTTCTCTCCTGCACACATGTGCTCTATTACTGTAGAAAAATAATGCTTTATTGATTTACCAAGTGGAGGGAACCGGAGACAAGTGTGAGCATATTTAGTCTAATCCCTGCTGTTTGGGCCATGGACGATGGACTGCTCCTTAATCCCCAAAGCTGTCAAAGTCACTTCACAGAGAAGACCAAAGACGCCCAGTGATGGCTATACAATACACAATGCTCCAATTTTTCTTTCGTCTTGTCGTCCCCGCTCCCAGTCATTTCAATGAAGCTCTTTTAGAAGAGGATTAGACTATCTCATCTGTTGAGCTGTCATCCAGTTTGCGTTCTTCTTTTCTGCTCCTTTCCTTGAGGATGGGAGGATGATGAGGTGTGTGAATGCAGCGGGTCAAACCCATTTGGATCCTTTTTACTTTTGTTTTCTTATTTCTAACAACACAATGAATATGATCATCTATTAATGTATTGCTTATATTCTGCAGAGCCCTTTTTACTCATAAATGCTAGTCCTTATCTTGCAACAATAGCTATGTAGGGTGAGGTAATGCTTTTTCAGATTACTAAAAGCTGTTCCCCTGCAGTGCTATTTAAAATGTGCACAAAAGCTTTCCAGATAAACTCACTTCTGAAAAGTAATAATGTGTTGCCTGATTATTAATTGACTTGTCTGCAGCACACTCAATGTCAAGCATTAATATCAAATAATGTACCCTTGCACCTTCTCTGCTTATTTAAACAAAAAATGTCATGATCCTCTAGCTCTGCGACTACTTCATTCAGAGCTGCTGTCAATTACGAATGTCAATCATGATATCACATTCCCTTTTATAGCTTTAAATAACACTTTAGAAAATGAACACTTTTTTCGACGCATACATGATTTTTTTAGTTTGGCACTTCTCCCATCAGCTAACGTAGAGGAGCGAGATTTATGAGCTTTACTGCAGCCAGACATCAGCTAGATGTTTCGGCTTCACTTTTCGGTACTCGTCCTGTCGTCCATCATTATATACAGTCTATGATTTGCACATCTAAAGCAAACTGTCTTTGGATGGAGGGGTAAAAGTGCCTCAGCCGTCCAGGGTTTAGCAGCTGTTAGTGAGACAGCTAATGACACCAGAAAACGTATATGTCATCAGTAACTGCTCTCAGGGTTGCACTGAGGTTGGATTTTCATCTTGACACACACTGACTGAAAATTAGAATCGGAGCCCAGACTGTCAGCTGTGGTACAAATGGATAGTTGGCGCTGCACCTTGGACTGTGGACTGGACTTAAGTGTCATTGAATGATGTGAGTGGGAGTACTATTTGAAGCCTGTGTGCCATGATGGCAGCCCAGTCCCACTGCAAGCATGAGAGCACATTGATACTGATGGGTCAGGTGTAGCCTAATATATGCCGGTTCAATCATTTACTTGAAGCTGCTCACACTGGCCAGCTGAGCCACTCCTTTCTTCCCGTTAACAGCTGATGCTCCAACCACACCTAGCTGGCTTTGAACACCCATTTAAAACAAAATGAAATGGACATTTATTCTTGCTGCCACCCAAGCTTTAAATATACCAATCATCTGCTTTACAGATAAACATAGTATACTTTTTTGTCAGTTTTCATCAAACGAAATTGATTTTTTCCACCACACAAAATATTATTTTCAGGGGAATGGCTTTTTTTGAATCTGTTTTTCAGCCCTGTAGATATTCAAATGTTCATATGGTAATGCAGACCTGCACACTTTCCCTGACTTGCGGCAACCAGCCTAATATAAACAATACTGAGGTGACAGTTTTTCATTGCTGAGGTGCTACGATGTAAAGACAGGTTGGGCTTTTGACTGAAAATAACAGAGAGCTGGGTTTACCCTAAAGGAAATGCCGTCAAACAGCTGATGTCATTTATTTTCCATTCAATGAAATACATCTATTGAATGTGCAATAATGAGTTCATAGCTGTCCGGGATTTTCTCTCAATATATTTAAATGGAAAAGCCTGATCTGCTCCAGTTGCACTGCATGCAGGATCACACACATTCTTCAAAGCTGTAGGTGTTATCGCAAAATCTGAGTGAATAACAAAGGATACAAAAAAAACATGAAAACACCTGGAATCACCCCTCATTAATTTCAAACTACAGGATAATGTTGTACATTATTACTGTAAAGACGAAGTAATTAATTTATGGGTTTTTGATTACTTTTCAACATATGAATTAATGCGATGAATGTTTTTATTCAAAATGTATTGACTGAACCCCGCCCCTGAACAGTATGCAATAACAGCTCATCACCAATAACGACTGGCCTGATACGAGGGGTTTTAATAAGGGAAATACTCCACACCAAAATAAACTATTTTTCATACCTGATATTTCAACCCATCTCAGTAACCATCATATATGATGATTGCAGTTTATGTAGGAGTTCCTTGCTATTGATGCTTCTTAACTGTCATAGCAATGGTCCCATTGTTGCTGTTATTGTAAATCACACTTGTGTTTTCCTACTATAAGCACAAATGTCCCTAGATGAAGCTCATACAAGATATTTCCACCTCTTCTAAATATCAAAAGCTGGTGAGGACGCTGACTTACATCTTTAAGGATTACATAATTTAACTTACCATTAAATGCATCTTGAAATAATATCAT